TTTTCTTTTTTCCTTAAAATCATCTTATTTTAATCATTGAATACAAATTTCTACGTATTTTTGATCGTTGTTTTATTTAAGACGTATTATATATTCTGCGTATATCGAAATAATATAATAATTTAATTAATATCGATTGAAAAAAGATAATATAAATAAATAATATTGAAGAGTGTAATAAAAGTTACGCAATAAAATAATATATCTCAGCACGCGTATTTGTTTTTTTTTGTTTTCGTTATATAAAATAAATATATATAATACAGGAATATATAAATATTTTTTGATTATATCCAAATATATCGCAATTACTGTATATATATATTATTTGTTAGGAAAAAAAAATGATAATACAACAAAGTATACATTTTCTATCGTACAAATAATTAAGTTACACTATCCTAGATTATACTTGACAACTTTTCTTCTTCTTTAATTTCTTTTTTTTTTTTCAATAATGAAGAAAATATTATAAAAATTTGATACAATAAAAATTGTAAAGTTACCATATATATATATATATATATATATATTATTATTTTATATCTTATCCTAGACATTCCCATTTCAAATGATACCAGAACGTAACTTATATAAAAAGAAGAACTAAGAAGAGATAGAGAAAGAGAAATGTCTCAATAAAAGGGTTTGTGTGAACTTGGGAGTCGATCTATCTTGCCGCAAGCGAAACGTAAATCGTCGGATAGCAAGAGTAATACTACTTTCTGATGGAGTCGTCATAGTTATCACAGGTATTTCCAACAGCTCGTCGTCCTCGTCCCTTTTACCTTCAAATCATTCGTCGTCTCGCAATCGGATCGATCGAAATCGTCATAAACTCGCGTCAAGTACGAATATAGTGCGAACCTTTTGTATTATCTGTGTCAGCTAAAAAAAAAGGATAGAAAAGGAAGGAAATAGGAAGGAAGGAAGGAAGGAAGGAAGGAAGGAAGGAAAGAAGGGATGGGGGTAAAAAGCCTGAGGGTAAACGATTCTATTCTTCGTTCTATCTTTCATCGATTCGATATTGTGTCGAGGGATGAGATGATGATGATGACACACATATTCGAAAATAGTATACTTGATGTGTTCATTCAAAAAATTATTACATTATGATACAATATATTATTATTTTATTTTCATTGAAACTATTTTTACAAATTTATCAATTAAATCTCATTTGGGAATACCTATGTAATAATAATATATATTTGTGATCAATAAATGTTTGAAACATTTAATATAATAATTGTTATTTTTGGCTGCAATTTGTTTGCTACAATTTTAAAATAATTAATACGCGTTGATCTATATTTCTTTTGTTTATACAACGAATTATTATAAACGCTGTATGGTAAATTAAACGCCTACCCAATATCAAATCTCACTTGGGAAATATCTATAGAGTTTTGTTTAACGATAAATAAATATTTCGATATTTTTAATATTAAACGTTTTCTATTTGTTTTAATGTAATTTTAAGATAACCAATACGCGGAAAATATATTTTTGTTTATCAACAAGTTATCGTAAATAACGATGATTAAGCATTCGTTTATTTTTTTTTTGTAATTATTAATTCAATCAATTAATAATCGTTTATTTTTTTAATATTTAATAGTTTATTGTTTTATTTGACAATTTTCTTAATTCCCTTAACATAGAAATATAATTGAATTCGATCAGTTCCAAAATAATCCAATTAGAATCAATAGAACATTTAATTATAAAGAATGAAAAGAATTGACATTTCCCAGATGTCATTGTATGTCAAGGGGTTAATAGTTAATGTTACTAAAAGATTCGCGAACGATTTAGATTTTAATTAACCTTAAAAGCATTGAAATATCTATAAACCTAAGGTGATGGATATAAAAGAAATTACTTAACGTTGAAAAATCGTTTGAAGAAAGAATTCTTACAAGTGAGAAGGATCTTCCCTTGAGAAATCCGTCATATTAAAAATTCTGATACACATATATATATATATCATCGACATATTTAAATTTTACAAGGACGAACATTGAACGAAAAAATAAAATTAGTTGAATTTGTTTTTACAGTTATCCCTTTCCGGTCATACACATTCGATTCATTTTCCTAATTTTACAAATCACAGAGAATGGAACGACGTTGTTTAAGTGCCCTGCACCAACCTTCGATTTGAATCCTTTTCGATCCCTTTCTTCAGACCCTTCTCCATCAATACCTTCTTCCTTCTACTTCCACATTTTCCAAGAAGAGAGAAGAAATCGACTTCACAACCCTCGAAGCTATGATTCCCGCCGAGAAGGATGGAAATCTCTGTCGCGGCCAATTTCACTCACGAAGCTCGTAATTCTCTTTTCTCCTCGTTTTATTATCTTCGTAAACCCGTCCACGTCAGGTGCATGTAATTTCTTGAAATAGGATGTCGAAAAGGCATTACGCGAAAGAGAACCTCTCCCCCCTATCTACCCACCTCCCCTACGAATGGCTTCATTTCATTCATTTGCTTCCTTCCTTTACTTCCTTCCTTCCTTCCTTCCTTCCTTCCTTCCTTCCTTTTCTACTTGCGATGAAGGATGTTTCATTGATCGCGATATTATTCGTGGTAACAACGATGATGTAATTTTTATTACGTTCCTCGTGCATATATATTACGAAGAATGTTATAAAATGTAGGAGTAAAAAGAAAGAGAAAAAGAGAGAGAGAGAGAGAGAGAGAGAG